TATCACTACCAACACTAGATTCGCAATTCCCAACCTTCTCTCGAGCTTGTACGGCCAATGTAGTTCCGGTTCTTGAGGGCAGGAAGGCACTTGCGTGTTATCGTGCAAATTGAAGTCTGTATTGATATTTAAGCCTATACCTGCCTGGATTTCTACCTTCTATGTCTTTCACCTGCTGAATCCCTTACCAGGCTCGGCTGCATGTCCCTTCTTCCCTTGACCCATCATCCCAGCTGTATTATCCTCAGATCTACCGGATCCATGACGTAATCATTATGGTCACCCTATTATGGGTACACTCATCCGGATCCAGGTCTCTTGGATCCACTTCACTGTAATTGTACACTCGCCGTGGATCCGAGCTCTCCAATCATCCAACATCATCTTGCAACCGTCTGTGATCTCCATTGCCCCACGAAAGACCCAGATCCACTGTATCCCTCATCCCTATACCCTGGATCCAGGTCCTTCTATGCGGGATCTTCCCTCCTTGGATCCCAACTCGGAAGTATGGGATCCGGGGCACCTCGCGGTGGATCCTGACTTCTTGTTAACCGTGGCTACTAGATCCACCTTCAGGTGGCACCTACCATTCATTCCTTCATAGGATCCACACTCGATCCCCTCTTATATAGTATATCCCATATCCGTTTAAGTGGATCCAGGTAAGGGTGGATCCGAGATAAGTCTTGGTGGATCTTGCCTTCTCGTACATCGCTCATACTAGATCCATCGTCATTTCATACGGGGTGCTGTTCGCCATGGCTAATCCAGCACAGGCAACTTGCATCCGTGCCAGACAACCCGAATCCTCTCTAATCACTTGAAATTGTCACTGATTCGGGATAGTGACCCCGCGTCAGGCCTATTCTCTTATTTCTGAGAAAGAACTTCACCACAGTGCCACGACGCATGGTAAACGGTCGAAGTGGAAACCTAGAAGAAGGGCGCACAGATTGCTGCTCGAGGCTCTAACTGTGAAGTGAGCCTCCGCCGCGCTCGCGCGGCCAAGTCGATGGTTTTCGACTTTGAGAATGAAAGTTTGTGACGAACACCTCTTCATTCTGATTGGTTGGTAAACCGAGCCTAAGTGGGGGAGGATGTAACGGGGTACGTAACCCTAAGTGTACCCTGGTTACATGAAGAGTGACACGTCATACTTCGGGATATTTGGTACAAAGTACCAAGGTCGTCCAAAGCCAACCATTGGTTGATGACATTGCATTTCTATAGGTGACTTATAGTTTGTATTAAACCCAAGCTTTATCTACCTTTAAATATACTCAGCTTACATTCTACCTAAAATATGTCACTTCACTCCCTTTTGAATAAAGAGGGGACCTGTGAACTGCCGTTCACTGAAAGTTTGTATACTCTCGGAAGCAAACTTCCTCTAACGCAAGGTGCTGTGTGACCCCGTCACATTTTGGGTGGATCTACACTTTTATTATAGCAGTACACAGATTTGTGCTTTGCAGATGGAATGTCCATCCGTTTTATTGTCTAGATCGAGCTAGGTCCGAGCATAAAACCACGCGTAAAAATGAGAGGCAGGCGTCGATTTGCTTTATCTGTGATCAAATTACCATTTCAAAACGGCAAAAAGGGTCGATTTACAGGATATCGATGTGGATTTGGTGTCGATTTGACTGTCGTAGCAGCCAGTCTAGCTAGATCGAGTTGTACTTTTTATAGACCTCGATTTAATAAAACGACCTCTACTTATTAAAAATCGAGCACCAGACAAAGTGAAAGGGCAAAAGCATTGAAATGCACAATAATTTAAAGTGGTCATAACCCTGACTCTTTTTACATGGTATAATGCGAAATTCATGCTGACGAAAAAGAAAAGAGGACAACGAATGCAAGGCAAATCAATAGGTGGAGCAGATTGCTCTATTGCTTCTCGGTTTTGTTGCGTGCATACTCAGCGATTAGCTCTGTGATCGCATCGTACGTGTAAAGCGATGAAGTGTGGCCATCGCTCCACGTGACCGCGAACGCATAGTTACCCTGACGAAAACAGTTTTGCTCAGTGCGTATTGCTTAGCAAAGATTAAAAAAACCACTTTTAAGCATACCTTCCGCTCGACTGCGGTGGGATGGATATCCTCTGGAATCGCGGCTTGGTCCAAGATCTACAGAACAAAACAGGCGTTAAATCGGGATATCGAAGGATTAAATCTGATGAACAATACCTGCTCCCCGGTGAATTCATCAATGCATTGAGCGCAGCGGCATCTACTCAAGACAAGCGAGATTTTGTTAGCTAAATAGTAAGAAATAGCGCAGTGCAAATGCACTTACTGTACTCGAAGGTCCGCTGGGTGAAGCACAGCCTCCTTCGCCTCGTTTAAACTGTACAAACGAAGAACAATGCCGCGATTCTTGTCATAGAGTAGCTCGGGCGCCAGGCGAGCTTTGTGCTTCAAAACCACCAGTTCCTTTGCAACCTAGTATCGACTTCAGTTAAATCAAGTCTACCAACACTTGACACTTTATCAAAACTTACTGTGGTCGCTAGTGAGTCGTACGACTTTTCTTCTTCAGGAAACAACCCTGAGAGAACGAAAGGGCTACACCACAGACATATATCATGTTATTCATTCATTTACCAGTATTAATACTACTACCCAACAATGCACGTACCGCCCAGAGTCTGCTGATAAGCTGAACTGCTCTGAGATTGGCAGCTTGAACACATTTTTCATGTTGTACTTGTCAACAAGCTCTTGTGTATGACCCAGACCTGCACAATTCGATACGATAGCCAAATGATTGAATAATCTACAAAACCCATAGCCGGAATTAACTATTACTGACCAAACGGATAGTGGCGTTGCCCATGAGAGCAGTCGAAGTAGGACATGTTCTCCACCACAGCAGCCGTTTTCACCTGCATTGGCATCACACCATTGTTAGCGACTCAGTACTGTTCCCGCATTCGAGACCAGCAATTTTACTTGTTTACACCTTTAAGTCTTCAAACATCGCAATTCCTTTCTCTACGTCGACGAAGCTGAGCAATTAATTACATGTACATCAAGATCAGGTACGGTGAAAAGGTGCATTGTGACACACATACCTAAGTCTTTGCGGTGTTGTCACGACAACAGCTGCCGAGATCGCCATTTGCTGCGAAAGTGAGATTTGAATGTCTCCCGTTCCCGGTGGCATGTCCACCACCAGGTAATCGAGGTCGCCCCATTCGGTGCCAAGAATGAGCTGGTCGACCAGTTTCGAGACCATGGGGCCACGCATTACTGCAGCTCCAACTCCTGCTCAAGCAAGTAATCCGTCGGTTAAAGAGAATCGTTAAGACGTGACTTGACAGCAACCATAACGAGCGTACCCCCAGCACCAGGAGCAGCACGTTGATTCACGAATCCGAATGACATGCATTTAACACCCTCGTACGTTACAGGGCTCGACAAAATTCTTGACTTTTCTTGACTGACGAATGGTGCGGTCTTCAGGTGAGACCATCGTGGGCAGACTCGGCCCGTAAATGTCCGCATCCAGAATCCCCACTCGAGCACCACGTTTCGCTAGGCTGCGACCCATAGCAAAGTGTTAGGAACCCAACATCAATCTCTTCGTTCTACTGCGCATTAATCACCTAAAGGCGAGATTCACCGCCACCGTGGACTTGCCGACTCCGCCCTTACAACTGGACACAGCAATGATGTCCGACACATGAGCCAGTGACGAGAGGCGGCCAGCGCGAGCGTTGCGCGGCCGAGACTTGGAGATTTTAAACTCCGTACCCACGACCCACTCCAGATTTTTCACTGCTGTCTCGGCTTTCTTCTGCCACTAATCACAAGAATTTAACAACAACAAATATTGTGTATCCAAGTAAAGAACGTGGGGCGGAGGGCCTCCACAACACACTAACCTGCTGTGCCAGCTCCATTAACGCCGGAGTTGGCGTTTCGATCTGGCACGAAACTTTGCCGGTATCAGGCGCGACGTGTAGATCCTTCAACAGTGAATTTACCAACGAGTTAGAGCCTTGAATTGTGCCACTATTGTGTCAATCCGCCATCACTTCACCTTGACGCGGCCCAGCGACACAATATCACCCAGCCCCAACCCATCTGAGACACTGCGAAGCTTTTGCAGCACCTGCATCTCCAGTTGCGCCGCCTGACGCGTCGATACATGTTGCGCGCGAAGAGGTAGACGCGGTGGCACCGAGCGAGCAGCTATCCACCTCAGCATTTTTGACTGGCAAAAAAGGGATCACGGTAATTTATGTTGGTGTGGTTCACACGATCTGCCAATAAAGAACGACACCCGTCGATGCGATCGTGTGTGTCTGAGCGAACTGAGTTCGAACTGGAAACCAAATCATTGCTGTGTAAAGGAAGAAGCAGAGGTGGAGGCGTTACTGCACCAGATTGCATTGGCGAAGCAAAAGGAGCTACGACTCCAAGCCGAGAAGAAGCGGATCCGAGGCGAGCTAAGCCAGCTGGAGGCCGTGAGTTGGAGATACACATTGTCAAAGTGGATAGCATCTTGAAAAGACATTCTGCGTACTTTGATCAATTGTGAGAGCAGGGAACGCTATGGTCACGCGAGAAGCAAACGCAGAAACAGTTTGTGGAAGTGAGAAGGGCAAAGGAGCTGCTGGAGGCGCAATAGAAGACGGAAGAGGAGAAGCTCATCAGGCTGAATGATTGTCTAAAGGAGAAGGTATGGCTGCCTTTTGCTTGAGAAACTATTAATATATGCTTCGAATATTTGGTGAAAATGTGCATCTGCTGCTAGGAGCTGAATTTTGACAAGGGTGCCAAATCCAGTCTATTCCAACAGGCCGCAGCGTCTGTGGTGGCAAAATCAGCAACCTCGCCACAACGGCATGAAAGTCTGAACCAAGAAGAAAACGTGAAGGTGCCAGTGCAGCCGGTAAACAGTCCTAACCCGATACCACTTGTGAATACGATGTCGCAATCTCGCCAAGGTACTTACTTCACTGTCAGCATAATTCGAAATTTTGTTTGTGTTATAGAACTGATGATCGTGTTTTGCAGCCATGTCCAGAGTTGACACTCGTGTTTTACATGCAGGAGATGATGCGTTGCAGCACCTCGTTCGGAATATCAATTGCGATAAGCAGCAAAAGCGTATTGAAAGACTTCGAGAAGAGCTAGAGAAAGCAAACTTCCGTCGCGAAGAATTCAATTTCGGCGTACATGTACCGTCTTCGATTATGGTAGATATGCCATCAGATGTCGTTGCGAGTGCTCAAATGAATCAATACCACGATACATGCAGACGAGAAATCATTGCACCAGGTATAGCCTTAAGCACTTTTATCAATGGTCATTCTAACTGGCATCTAATCCTCCGTGTTAATAGACTCCGCAGCAGAGGAAAATAGACACTCAGCAGCTGTGACGAAGGCAGCAATCAAGTGTATTATTCTCAAGCCTCTTGATGGAGCTCACCAATTTTCAGATAAAGATGCTTCACCAGGTAAAAGCGCCCGCCCAGCCATAAATGCACCAGCAGCACCGCTCACCCAGCCAGCAGTATATCCCACCGCGCCAGGCTCTATTTATAATCCGAAGTGTGCTGTTTCGTGTTACCCCCAAATCTATGCTCGGCCAGCCGCCCCAATCAATCCGTACCGATTCTCCTCACCTCCAGTGATGCCTGTGTGCCCGTACGGAAATGGAGCTCCCTTGTCATATTTACCGGGCAGCCCATATCCAGCTGCACCCCCGTGGCTCCCATCGTACCCTTACCAGATTGGAAGTATTTCTCCGCTCGAGCAACCATCCAATCCCTTGCTTAGTCAGCTACAGGAAGATATTCGACGATTGGAGCAAGATCTGGAAGTGCAGCGAATCGCCGATGAACAACACGCTGAAGCAAAGGAATTTGTAGTAAATCCCGGGCGAAAAACCAATCAACACTCGACAAAGCGGGAGCCACCCCGCTGGAACTTATAGCCAAGTGTATTGTATCGGGTAAATCGTAGAATGAGTCTCGAGTCTGATGGTAACCAGATCGAGCTCAATTATCAGCTTCTTTCTAAGGAAGGTTCGCTGGGAAAGTTATAAGAAAGATGATATGTAGTTGGCCTAGTTCCTAATATAAAACCCGGGTCGGACCTTACTAGCCCGACTGGGAAGACACGCAGACCCATCGCCTGAAGATGGCAAAGCTGCCAGGCGCCCTTGGGTCGTCTCCGTTGAACTATGAGGGAAACCAAGGTGAAATACCTAGGATTCACTACACAGCCCCCGAAGCTTGGTTTCCCCACTACCCCTCCGCTCGACTTGCGAAGGTTGTGGCGATATCACCCAGAGCGCATGACCAACGGCTAACAAGCGTCTGACGCTTACAACCGGACTGGTTTCTTGAGGCGCTGACTGTGTGCTCGAGATCTCTGCTGACTGCGGACACGCAGAACTTGGCCCACGGTGGCTGTCATCATTGATCGAGTTCGACGACCTAGAGGAAGCTGAGGATCTTGGTCCTCGGCACCGGTGTGCTCTTGGCTGTCCTCATCCAAAGTACACTGAACTGTTTGCTGGACACTTCGAGGTTGTACCTCATCCGCGTCGTCGCTGTCACGCCGGACGGTTTCTCCATCGGGGTGACTTTGTTTCTTTCTGCCGCGAGGGCGGCCACGAGGCTTCTTGCCCTTCGCTGATTCAAGAGGTGTAGACGCCGTGCTGCCGTCCTCACGATCTATCTTCTTCCAGTGATCCGTGAGACGAGGGTCTTCAGCAGTGTCCACATATCTCTTCAATAAAATCTTGATGTCCTTATTCAAAACTTGCATTGGTTCGTAAGAGTCTTCGATCGACTGTAGGCCCTTCCAGCTTACTAAAATATCAAAGTCCTTTGTAGCATTATTCCACTTGTGGCCCTTCAGCTCATTAACTGCTAAGATGATTCCTTGAGCAGCTACGTGTTCGAGTAGCTCATCCGTGACATTTAAGCTGTCGTCTGCGTACATCTTTAACCGTGAAGGGTGCACATCATGTTCTTCTCCTGTAATCAGGTGCTCTACACGAAAGGAGTGGGAATCGGCCCGAGTCACTCGATACGGTCCAACCCAATTCACTTGGAGTTTGTTTCCACGTTTCTCATCCGTTCGGGATCGCAAGACGTAATCTCCAACGTGAAAGTTTACGAGATTCTCTCCTCGTTCGCGCTTCTTGTTCAAAAGTCTTTGCTTCAGTCTTTTGTCTTCAACCACCTCAT